TGGATAACTAAGTCAGGAATGGTGGTACTGTTTCAAGATAAAGTAAGCACAACGTCAAACTTCAATCATAGCATTGAATGATTCAGCAAGGTCAGGATGGTGAGGAGAGACAGTACTCACTGGAGTTGGTAGCGTGTACCTCCTAAGTGACCTTAGGAAAAGCTGTTTCGGGGAATGATAAGAAAGAAATAATTTACAACAGGTCTGGAGACCATTAGGAAAAAAATAAGTGTGGACTTCCCTTTACTAAAAAGAAGAGACAGAAAGAGAGGGCAGGGTTTGCACGGTCTGAGGAAGTGTGTATGTGTGTGTGTGTGTGAGTGATATGTTCATGACTGGAGAGATTCTAGCTGGTTTATGAACTGAAGGAAGGAGCTGTGGGTTGGTGATCCAGAGCCAAAAGATAGGACTGAGGGAACCAGAGCCCTGGAGAGGCTGGAGGGAATGCATCAAGACAGGTGCCTTGTAGATGTCACGAGCAATGGCAACCTCATTGGAATCAAGGCCAAACTGATATAGTTGAGATACCTAGTCAGGAGGTATATTAGTTAAAAATATCAGTTGTATCACTTATGTCAAATCTCACCTTTTTTTTTTTTACCTTAAATGGAAATGTATAATTGTTTTTCTGGGCTTTATGCATTAAGAAATAACTTTACATGAGAAAATATTTGGCGATTAAAATAGAATATTCCTTTTTTAAATGATGAGGGATGGGAAAATGATTAGATGAGACATGAATCAGGATGATGAATTATTATATTTTTAATTAATTTCAATGTGAAATATAAACACTTCTTGATAATTTCCCGTGCTCACATTATGATTCAAAAAGCAAAGTGGTCCTTGGTGAGCATTCTTCAGTAAGGAGGTCCCTTTGAAAGTGAGGGATTCTTCAAACACTCATTCATTCCACCAATAGTCACAGAGCACTCACTGTGTCCCAGGCACTGTGACAGGCATTGTGGCTATGGCTGCAGTCTCTGTTGTGACTTTGCTCACAGTACAATAGGGGCTGTGAGAAAGTGTGAAAAGGACCTGGAAGTTGTCAGAATCACAGTGGAGTCACTCCTGTCAACCCAACCAAAGAAAATAAATAAAACCAGGGCGTTATGAAGGAAGAGTTTTTATGCATGATTGCCTGATAGTAACTATCACAAGACTACCAGGACCAGAAGCCTGCACAGAGGTCGCCGCACCTTATATAAAAAGTACTTCTATAAGCACATCTGCTTGACAAATGTCTGTTCAACCTCAGAATGATGCCACTCTTGTTATTAATCATTGTGGACAAGGATTACTGTTTCAAAATATCTGATATAATCCTCCTCATTTTTGTCTTTTAAAACTTCCCTTTCCTTAATCTCTTTAAACAGGCCCATAGATGACTATGGAATGTGTATTCCCATTGTAATGTTCTGCTCTTCCCAAATAAATATTATTATTTTGAGAATCTCTCTCTCTCTGGTCTATTTTTTTTTTTAATTTAGGTTGACAAAAGTAAATAGGTCATACAGTCATATGATGAGTCCCAGGATGGGGGACTAGAGAGGTGGTGAGAAGGTACAGAAAAGCTGACAAATGGACACTAGTCATTTGGTCAGAGAAGTCTTCAATGAATGGGTGAGTGTTTAAGCAAAGGCCTGAAGAATGGTAGGATTCTGCAAAAGAGTGAAGCCTGAGGTGGTGTGGAGGGAAAGTAAGGGTAAAAAAGAGGCTTCTGACAGCAGGAAGACGACTTAGCTTGGGGAATTTGGAGGACTCCACATTATTTGATGGAAGCACTTGGTGCAGGAGAAAAAAAAAAACGTGGCAGGAGATGAGGCTGAATTGGGTGAGAAGTTGCCTTTTGTAAAGGGCCTTGTAAAGAGTTTGATCCTAACACAACAAAACCCACAGGAAACTAGTGGAAAGTCCTGGACAGGGAACATAGATGAATTAGACATGTTTTCAAAAATTACTCAGTGGAGACAGACTGAACTAAGACAAAAGTAGGGGTAGAAACAAACCGGACAGAGGGGCTGTTCTGAGAAGTGACCCTGGCAAAAGAGAAGACAGAACTACTTGGAGGATAGGTAGAAAGTAGGATCATTAGGGCTTATTGTGAATTAGTGGGGAAACAGAGAGGGCTGGTTAGGGGCAGGGTAGTAGTGACAATCAACCTGGCAATGTAGCAGGAGAGACCATTTGGATTTATGGACACTTCTCTTTTCGTGACTGTCCATTTCAGAATGGAAACCAAGTTTAAGAGAAGCACAGATACTTTTGAGATGCTTTTCAACTTCACTGTTTGGGTTCTATTGCCTAAACTTAGGCAATTTTTCTTTTTCTTTCAGTAGGTTTCAAGCAAGGCAAAAGGAAGGTACTCACCTGTGTAACTTGAGAAAAGCTAGCATGCTGCATGCATTAGGAACTCAGGTGCCCACAAGACAAGAAATGATAAATATGCTCTGTCTTTAATGTAAGAAACTTTCCATCCCTGCCCTCAGCCTAGGCATCTGCTGCACACACAAATCAAGACCATGTTAAGTCATGGAATGAAAAATGAAATGAAATGAAATAAAATAAAAGCAAACAAAACATACTTCCTGTGGGGTGAATGGAAATTTTTGCCTGGTATATTTTCCAGGTACAAGACCAGTGATTCTGAATATTTGAAACCACAAGTAATTGTGTTCTTTAACTGAGATTTTAAAGAAGAAAGGATCACCTAAGGGGACCTTGACGTAAAACACATGGGCATAGAGGCAAGCCAGGCTTCCCAGTTACAACCAGATAGCCTACAAACCAAGAAGCATGATAATTAGGAAAAAGCAACAGATTCACATCAAATAAAACACACACATCTAGTTGAACTAAAGCTGAATTTGACTGCAACTTGTACAACTTTTCTCCCCTTGAGTTAGAAACACAGCACTTTAATTTTATTAGGAAATCATTTTTTTTTTTTTTGGATTCAAATAATTTGGAACTTCCTCTAGGACCTAATTACACTTTCTCTCTGAAAATATAGAACCAAAAAAAAGTCATGTTACCATGGCCAGATAAATGAGGACTGGCCTCAGATTGTAGCATGGTAAGGAAGAGTATGGAACCCAGAATCTCATTGGTCGGTTTGACCTGGCTCCATAACTTTTCAGCTATGTGATCCAGAGTTAATTGCTTAATTTCTAGAACTCTCCATGTCCTTGTCTATGATGTGAGAATAATAATGGGATCTTTCTGGTACAGCTGTTGTGAGAAATGAATGGGTTAATGCATGTCAAACACAGGGCATGTGTTCTGTAAATGTTCATTATTTGGTTCCTGCCTTCTATCTTCCTTTGAAACTGCAGCTGAGCTCTAGAATTTGGGTCAGTTTTGTTCACATAAAGTTAAAGCTCTCATTTTAGTTCTAGAGCAGGGCCACAACTAGGGCAGAAAGTCGTTTCCTTTCCACTACCTGTGTGTTTGCTAGAACAGGCTTTAAGCACAATGCCAGTGGGTCTTGGGGACTTCTTTTGATGTTCTTGGGGGACACAGGGGAAACAAAAGGGAGGAAATAAGGGTAGCAAGTTCCTAGGGTTCTGGGGGCCCAGTCTTTATTGCTCACATCCAGTGCTGAGACCCCGGAGTCCTGAAAAAGACACCTAGGGGAAGCCTCGGCAGCTTTAGCCATTACTCCCAGGTTAGCTTCCTCCTTGCCTTTCCGACCCTTTGGCTCTATCCAGTGCCCCTAATTGTGGTTCGATAACCCCAGACCTGGATCTGCTTCAGAACCTGGACATTTGGCTGCTGTACCTTGGTTTCTCTGCCTGACTGAGGTGAGTTTCTCATCTGAATGCCATCTCTGCAGGTTGAGAGTCAATACCTCCCCAGAAAGTCCAGACTGGATTGAGAATCCTGGAAGCCAGGTCAAACCTCTGGGTGGCAGGGTCAGTAGGCCTTGGCATAAATAGTTCCATCTGCTTTGGTTGAGTGAACCTCCGGAGCTATTTTCCAAATCCCAATGCTGACACTAACTACATGACTTGGGCCAGGTCAGGCATTTTACCTCTCTGTGCCTTAGTTTTTCTCATTTGTACAATGGGGAGATGAGTGATTCCTACTTCACAGAGTGGCAGAGAGGATTAAATGAGTACACAGACACACACGTTATATATATGTACACAAATAATAATCCATTTAAATACATGTAAGACATAACATAAACATAATATTGGACTATATTCATGGTATATTTTGTACATATTAAATATTTTATGTGTGACTTTACATTTAATTTTATGTTTTGCACTAAGATGTATTTCATATAAAACATTAAGTACACATAAATATAATTATTTATATTATTCTTTTTGTCATCTCTACTTTATTTCTCTGCTGAGATAAAGGAACCATGAAAGCCTTTTCAACTTTCTTGCTTTTATCTGTGTCTATAACTGCAGAATCCCTATGATCTACAGATTGCTCTATCGTGCAGAAACTTGCCATCATTTGGAAACTTACAATCTACCACGAATGTCATGCAAATATAATTTCTAAGATTCCTGGGATGCTCTTCTTTCAGATTTCTTAATTTCAATTTCTGCAATAATTTCATTTATTTCTTGTCCTATTTCAATGACTTTCTCTTCTCTGGAGCAAATAACGTAAGACAGAAATGTGTCAAAACCTATGTCTTATTTATCACATAGTCTTTGTAGGTCTTGTTATTCCCAATAGATATTGATTCAGTGGTACCTCTGAATGAAGTGGTTGTGAAAATAGTAGATTTTGTCTTTTTAACTTGTTTCTTTGGAGCCAGAATAAGGGTAAAGTTTTTTTCCTGTCTTCTCAATCATCAATAATCCATGGATTAAATCCTTTACCTCCATAAGCAGTAACCCTTCCTATATAGCTGTTGACATCAATGAAAAGACACTCCCTTGACTTGACGGTAAGTGTGACACTACATCAACTCCCACAGAAGCCACTTCCTTTTTCAGCAAATAGAACATAAACTTACTCTCATCTCTGAACACAGAAGGAAAGGACCAGATCTGATTCTTGCAAACATGAAGCCAGTCTTCTGGTATTTCTTTATTTTCTGCTTCCAAATTGAACTTCTAACAGGTGAGTGACCTTTTGAATATTTCTTACTAAGTTATAATTCAAGAGAGCTTAAGAAAAATGAAAAGTAGAAAAATAAGGCACCAAATAGAAAGTGGTTTTGGTTTTTAAAATTAGAAACTATTTCCTTGCAGCCCGACCACATGGTTGAGACCACCCTGTCCCTATGTCAGTGTGGATGGCACTGGGTTTGCATTACTGCCTTTGATACTGTGCTTTAAGATGAAAAATATGTTTCAACAGACCATTAAATTTTTAAATTACCTGCATGGAGTTACCTGTCAGAGGATGAAGTAGAAGAGTAGCTTACTGTTCTCAGAGAAAGATGAAAGGCACAAAAACTTGTGTCAACAGAATGAGAATTAAGTAGCCCTGGCATTTGGGATAGGAATTGTTCTATGGTAGAAAATTAAACAGAAGTGCTTCAAAAGAAGGATTTTGATTTTAATCTTACCTGGATGATCTGTTGTTGTCTAAAATACATAGGCTGTCATAAGGTTTTTATTGACACTAAGTTTGAAGATCCCCCTAAAAGGCCAAGGAGGAGTGAATGATTAAAAATCTTTGTAGCTCCTGTAGACATAAAAAAAAAATCATTCTGAGTCTTTGATTCTTCCTTTCATGTGATATACATTAGACTCTAAATGAACAACTTAAATAATGCGATGTGTAATGTAAATTAATATAGGGGCTTCTGCTTCTTCTTACTCTGTACATTTTTCTTTTCTTTTGAACTCTAGGTTCTATTCTTGAGGCTGGGGAAAGCCAAGTAAAATTATGTTAAGTGGGGACGTTCTCTTAACAGGAAAAGTAAAGGCAGAACTTTTAGTAAGTCTAATTCCATCTAGAAATGCCTTTTTTTCCAATGGTACAAAGAAATACACATTACTTTTCTCTTGAAAAAATAAAAAGTTCTAAACCCAAACTGGATTGGTTCATTGTTTGATTGTGTCCTGTTTCAGAGTCATTCAAATGCTCTTAAGACTAATGAAGCATAAGGGTTTCCGTGTAGCAAGTCCCAAGAGCAGTTCTGGGCTACCTATTTGTTCTGGCCTTTCCTGTAACCTCACAAAGTCCTTCAGCATCATAAATAACGTGAATAACTCTGGAATTGAAATTCATTCATTCACTCCTTCATTCCCTCATACAGCACCAGCATTTGCCCTGTAGGAGGTGCTGTACTAGCTGCTGCATGTAGAAGAATGAGCAAAACCAGGTCACTCCCTGCTGTCCTGAAACTAACCGAATGCTGGGGAGAGAGACGCTAATTAAACAGTCCCAGGAATTAACAATAGTTACAGGCAAAATGCAACCAAGAAGCCTGGCTAGATGGGGTGGGTGTTTAGGGGGGATTGGAGTATAGGGTCATTGAAGTTTGTTTCTTTTTTTCCTGTGGAAATGGCACTTGGGACCTCAGCGACAAGCAGCAATCAATGAGGAGGAGGGTAAGAAGGTAGGGAAGGCCATTCTGTAGCATTTAGAGAGTGAGCTGTGACAGGAGGGAATGAAGTGTGGTCAGAGAGCTGGAAGGAGGTGGCTGAGCCTGAGCACAGAGAGGAAAGAGATTGGTGAAGTCACAAGTTGAGGCTGGGAAGGAAATCAGAGACCTGACCATTCAGATGCCCGTGTTAAAGATTTTGGATTGTTTTCCAAGAACATTTGTGCAAGTCTTTGAAGGGTTCATTTGTACTACTAAAAACCATTCCAATATGCCAAACCCATTTTGGCAGTTATGCTGTTGGTACTATACACGAGAGCTTTGAATTGGCATTAATATTATTTCTGTGGAAGAATAGATCTAGCCTGGGGTAGGATTATTACCGTTGCCAGACTAAGCTGAGGAATAAATTGAACATTTGGAATGATATTCATCTTAGATCCCAAATAAATAAAACCAGTGTTCACTCTCATCACATGGAAAACCACACTATGTGACATGCTGTTTTCTAATCTGACAGGCGGCAAAATTAAGGCATGAGTGGCTAAATGATGATAATAAATACACTAAAATCATCATATTCAAAATACCTCCATGATGATGTATCCAGCAACTACCATTATAAACACAATAAACACAAAGAACTAAAACAAGGTAAACTAAGCACCCACAGGTCCTCGGTCATATATTTTTAACCCTTCCAGCACCGAAGCCTTTCTCATGCTATGTAGACAAAGGTTTGCTTATCTTCTGTCAATGCTTGAAGACTGAGGCTCAGACCAGGAACGGCTAAATAGATTGCTACACAGCAGTTAGTGGCTGAACCAAGATTAGAACTCCATGTGTCTGATTCCAATATCCATGTTCTTTCTACACTCTGTGGAAGAGCACAGCTATGACACAAATTTCAAGTGATAGAAGTTCTGGTCAATTTTGTTATTTGGTTGGTCAATTAAGAAGGTTGGGAATCTTGACAATTTCCATTCTTTGATGGATCTCAATGTAAAATTTAACCAAGTCTTGATGTTGATTTAATGATTCTGAAATAGTTAAAGGCTCTTCCTTAGAGAAGAATTTGGAAAATGTGAAGCTCTTACTTCATTCAGAGGAGCCTCTTCCTAAGCTTTATGGGCAACAGAGACCTTGTGGGTGACCTGATGAATCCTGGTTTGGGGAAGCAGGGTGCAGAATGCAGCAGTGGGAATGCCAGATGTCAGATGGTGCCTAATGCACGTGTCTCAGGAGGTGTTGGATCAGGAAGCAGGGAGCCCATCTAGAGCCTTGCTTTGTGGAGGGCACTGAAGGATTCTTGAATTCCACCTTCCCAGGGAGGACAGCACTGGGGGTTTCCAGCACCTGGTCCTTCCCCTAGAGCTCAGAGGAAAGTCTGTGGAGATGAATTGACCTTTGATTCTCTCCAATCTTTCAGGTCTGGGCAGAAATATCCCCTTAAACCTCCCCTTTCTATGTTTGTGCTACATTTTAAAAAGTTCAAAGTGCCAATGATGAATTTAAGCCATGTCCATCCAACAGGATAAGCCTGTACTTACTTGGTTTTATTCTTTCAACAGTATGTGTCTTTACTACTTGTTTTCTATCATCTGTTAGTGAAATTATATTTATAAATATATATATATATATATATAATATATATAATTATAAACATAAAATTATATATAAAATATAAATGAAATTGTATATACACATACATGTGTGGGTGATTATACACATACACACACACACACATACACATATATATGTATTAGCTCTTCTCTTCTTGCCTCTGGTGAATTTGGAAGGTCAACTACCTTTCTCAGTTTACTAAGTCATTATCATGTTCAGAAGATCTTCATTGAATGTCTATATTTATTTATTCTTGTATTGAAACAAATATGACAGTGTCCTTGCCTGATGTGCCTAGCCCCCTACACTGGCCTGAGAATTTAGAAATGTTCTTCCCTTCCCACACTGCCCCCGTAGTGCACCCTTGCTGCATACATGGATTTTGTTTAAATAATTTAAAACATCCAGCTGCAGATCACTGCTAGGTTTTCTCTTACAGTGTTTCTCTTCTGTTCCAAGAATCCTTTCCTGACACTCACATCACATCGCATCTCTGATGTGATAGCTCTATTCTGGAATTTGGGTCTAATCTTATAATCTGTTCTGATATAAGGATCAGAGGATTCCCATTAATTTTTTTTTTCAGATACTCCAAACTCTCTGAATCCAGTGCAGGTAAAGATGACTTTCTTTTACCCTTGTGGGTGACAGGTGTCTTTTCTAGCAACAGGATCCCTGGACTACAGTTTTTCCTGTCAGAGGTCTATGGATTTTCATCCCCTATTTGTTGGCTTGTAGGGTTGTGAGTGAATAGTTTTATGCTAGTTTGATTCTCATTCTTTTGAAAGTAATTTTAAAACAAAAAGTCTCTAGAATTTTGTAATCTAGAAAGTTGTTCATTTCGATATTGGAATGCAGGAAATGCATCTGTGTGTGCCTCTGTTTCTCTGTGTGTTTTCATTAATTTTTTTTTTTTAGGATTGGGTGAGCTTTTTAATCTGTAGACTCAAGCTTTATCTTTCATTTAAGGCATTTTATTTCCCCCCTGGTATTTGTTTAATCATAGTTTCCTCTGTTTCTCCCCTCCCTTATAGAAATGCCCATTATTCTCATATAAGTTTCCAACCCCTTGTTTTCTCAATAGTAGGGAATAAATAGATTTTATAACTTTGGTTGCTTGTTAACCACAACTCCTTCAGATGAAATGGAATGATATAGTTTTTAAGTCACTAGTAGCATATTCACTTGTCTTGGTAGACAAAAAATATAGGCATGTACTGAAGTTCTCGAACTAGTTTCATTCACAGTAAGTTCTTTAGTCTAGTTTGACTTAAAAAAAAAATCAGACCATTATTCACAGTTTTAAACTGAGCAAAACCTCCATTTTATGCTACTTCCTCTTCTAAGAGTATTGATTTTGATATGTAAAAGGACTTTTGTTCTTTCCAAGTTAAAAAAAAATCATTTGTGATCCGCAACAACTAAAGAAAAGGTTGTATTTTCTAAGTGACACCTCTGTGCTACTGTTCTTCTAATGAACTGAGTCTGTCAAGTGGCATTTTTGAGGGCATTTTAAGTAAAACAAAATTTTTGGCATTTGAAACCATCTTATAAAAGTAAATTCAAAATTATATTGTTATATTTTAGAAGGTGAATCACAGTAGGTATAGAATATGAAACTCAATTAAAACTGCTAATCAAGGAATGATTTTCCTTCTCACTGGTTTGGCCTCTAAGGTTGACAAAAAAAAGATGAAGATTTGCCAGTTTAAAGAGTCAGAAATCAGAGCTAGGAACCTCCTATGTGTTGTGCACAAAATAGTGATGCTTGTATCTATTTTGCTTGAGCAAAAGTGAAAAAGAAACAAGTTGTCTCTAAGCAGGGTGACCCCCAGAGCTGATATAATCTGTTTGAGCTATTTTGATACAGATATATCACTTCCTGTAAGCAACTAAAGACTGTTTAAAGGCAATGATTTTGAATTTAAGAAATCAAACTTTT